ACTCAGATTTCGTTAAAGAATAAGTTGACTATATACATAGTATTCAATGTGAATGTCAACATTTTATGATTTCTCCTTGCCCATATGGAAGAGCTATACATGAACCTATCTTTAGTTCTTTCTAACGATGAAAAAGTCTAAATATTTGATCTTTCCTTTAGTCCATTGCTAATGGGTTACTGGAGAAATTACTGATAAACCTTTAAAGAGAAAAACAAACTTTTAACTCTTCTCCTCCGCTATAAAACCGAGAGGTCCCACTACGCGAAGCCGAGTCTGCCTTGAATCTGCAAAGTTGTGTGTATGAGAGCAGAGCAGAAAGAAAAACAGCAGAACCAAGCCAAACAGTAAAAGGGCCCAATCGAACGCAGATTGCATGTCTATAGTCATTTATGAGAAGAGCTCTAAGAAATTGTTTAAATTGTGAAACATTTAACAGTGCTCCAAATGGAACTTTAAATTACCTTAAAAGCGCTGTAAACCTAAAGCAGTCCTTTTCAGGGTTCTGTTTGGAAAGCTGTATGGGCAGAACTACTTATCTGGTGCATCTTATATGCTATTTTGAGCATTATATATAGATTATTCTTGATTAAAGAACATAAAGAGTGAGTTTACAATTATATTTGTATGCTTGTCTTAGGTTGTAGAAACTATGGAAGAACTATCAGATTATTCTTCAGAACCTTTGAAGATATCTGCATTTTCTTTGATCAACATTCGGCGTTTATTCCTGTTACATTTATGCTTGGTTTCTATGTTTCTGCTGTATACAGCCGTTGGTGGCAGGTTTTCGACAATATGGGATGGATTGATCAGTAAATTATTTTCGGTTATTTTATAATTTCAAGAATGCGAAATGAGCTTTAAAAATATGAAGCTTATTTGAAAAAGGACAAGATGTTACTTTCTGAAAACTACTCTACTCTTTCAGACCATCACTTCAAATAACCCAGTCCATACGAGGCAACGATGAACGCTCGAAAATTTTGCGACGTAATATCATTCGCTACATGATATTAATGGAAGCAATGGTCTTTAGGGATATTTCTTCGCTAATTCGAAAGCGTTTCCCTACAATGCAGCATTTAGTGGCATCAGGTAGATCAAAGCAACAAAAAATTGCTATCCTGTCTCATTTTTTGCTTCTCAGGTTTGATGACCCAAAAGGAATTGGAAATGTTTGACGCAGTCAAATCACCTCACTCGAAGTATTGGCTTCCAATTCAATGGCTTTTGTCTTTGATGACTTTGGCAAAGGAGGAGGGAAGAATTCAAGGAGAATATATTTACGTAGCATTGATAGATGTGAGTGTATGCTAATATTAAAGATAATAACTGCTTGAAAAATGCATTGAGCTGCTAAGATTACGCTTTTCTATCTTCTAAAGGAAGGATACTTTATCGAAGTGGCAATTTGAAAGAGATGCTTGATGCTTTGAAACGCTGGTTCTCCATATATGCGAACCGTTTTCTTGAAAGAAGCCATGAAGGTTATCGCTACCAAAAACAGCCTCAACAGTCCGTAAATCATTGACCTTCAAAATCAAATTTAACCTAAAGAACAACTAGAGTTATCAGTTTTCTACAGGTCTTGCAAA